TGTGAGAGAGACACATCGACTGGTGGCCACCCACACAACCCCAACTGGGGCCGAGGACAAACTGCAACCGAGGTACGTGCCTTCAGTGGGAACTGAACCCGGGACTCTCTGATCCGCAGGCTGACGCTCCAACCACTGAGCCAAACCAGCCAGGGCTACATTTTTAATTTTTTTAGTTCATGTCTTTTCTTAACCCATATACAATTTCTCACCAGCTCTTTGGGCAAGGTGCTTATTGTGGCTTCAAATCCAGTTTTGGGTTTTCTCCTTCACACAAGAGCAGGTAGTCCAAAAAAAAAAAAAATTTTTTTTTTTTTACAAACATCTTTCCTGGGCTAGTGATCACCTAATTGAGGCCCTTGAACTGTGATGAAGGTGTTGCTATTGGCCACAGAACTGCATGGGAAAGGAGCTTGGAAGAGGGAGCATCTTAGCCCTAGGGGAAAAGGGAATGAAAGTAGAGAAACTCGCCACTGAAAAGAGGAAGGGTTATTTCCTTACACCCTCCAGTACCCTCCTGACTAACTTCCAGCCTCTTGTCCTTTCTTCCCACAATCCCACCACAGTCAGGCATTGTAAAACATGACATTTAAAAAAATCAGCTCTGGCCGGTTTGGCTCAACAGAGCGTTGGCCCGTGGACCAAAGAATCACGGGTTCTATTCTGGTCAAGGGCATGTACCTTGGTTGCAGTTCAGTCCCCGGCCCTGGTTGGGGTCATGCAGGAGGTAATCAATTAATGTGTGTGTCTCTCTCTCTCACATAGATATTTCTCTCTCTCTCCCCCTCCCTCTCACTCTATCTGAAGATAGATGAAGAAATATCCTTAGGAGAGGATTAAAAAAACAAAAAACAAAAACATTTCCTTCACTCAGAAATTTCCTTTGTGCCCTGTTAGTCAGTCTCTTCCTCCTTGTCTGGCTCCTGGCATTTACTTATCTGCTTTCTGTCATTCTAATTTTGCCTTTTCAGAATTGCAGATAAATGGAATCATACAGTTTGTAGTAGTTTATGTCTAGCTTCTTTCACTTAGCATCATGATTTTGAGATTATCCCTGTTATTGCATATATTACTAATTCATTCCTTTTTAGTGTTAAGTAGAATATTTCATTGCATGGACATACTACAATTTGTTTATCCATTCGCCAGTTGATGGACATTTTGGTTGTTTGCTGGTTTGTACTATAACAAATAGAGCTGCTTATGAATGTGGATAGGTCTTTGTGTGGACATATGTTTTCATTATTTAGGAGTGGGATTACTGGGTTGTATGGAAATGTATATTTAACTTTTTGAAAAACTGCCAAACTGTTTTCCAAAGTGGCTATACCATTTTACATTCTCACCAGCAATATATGAGGTTTTCACATTACCAACATCGTCCTCAACACTTGGTATTGTCACTCTTTTTATTGTTGGACTCATCCTTGTCAGACTTGGCATCTCGTTGTAGTTTTAACTTTCATTTCCCTAACAACTAATGATGTTGAGAATCTTTACATGTGCTTATTTACCATTTGTGTATCTTCTTTAGTGATGTGTCTATTCAAATCTTCTACCCTTCAAAAAAAAGGATTATTTTTCTTCTTGTCAATGAGTTGTAATGGTTCTGTATATATTCTGGATACAAGTCCTTTATCAAACATGCATTTTGCAAATAATTTTTTTTTCCAGTCAGAAGCTTCTATATCCTTTCTTTTTGTATCTATGTTTGTGAGGGATATTTGATTTTTTTCCTTGTAATATTTTGTCTGGCTTGAATAGCAAGTTAATGCTAACCTCAAAATGATTTGAGAAATGTTCCCTAACATTCAATTTTCTGGGAGAGTTTTTATAGAATTGTATTTTTTTTCCCTTAAATGCTTGGCAAAATTCACCCATTAAGCCTTCTAGGGCTGGAGTTTTCTTAGCAGGAAAGGCTTTTAGTTACAAATCCAGTTTCTTTAGTAGATATAGGGCTTTTCAGGTTTTCTCTTCTTTAGTGAACTTTGATAGGTTGTGCGTTTCAAGGAATTTGTTCATTTCACCCAACTTACCAACTTTATTGACAGTTTTTTCATAATGCTCTCTTACTATTTCCACTATAGGGTCTGTAGTGATGGCCCCTCTTTCATTACTGAGGTGGATAATTTGTGTCTTCTCTCTCTTTTTCCTGGTAAACAGGCTAGAGTTGATCAATTTTATTAATTTTTTTCAAAGAACCAGTTTTTGGTAGCATTAATTTTCTCTGTTTTTGTTTTTCTGCTTTCTATTTTATTGATTTCTACTCTTTAAAAAAATTTTTTTTTAATTATTATTATTATTTTAATTTTTTTTTATTATTTTGTTTGATTTCTACTCTTAACCTTATTATTTCTTTCTGCTTACTTTGATTTTCTCTGTTCTTCCTTTTTAGTTTCTTTTTTTTTTTATCCTCACCCGAGGACATTTTTCCAGTTTTTTGTTCAGATACAGTGGGAGGGAGAGAGAGGAAGAGAGAGAGAGAGAAGCATTGACGTGAAAGGGACACATCGAGTGGCTGCCACCCGCACGACCAACCAGGGCCGGGGACAAACTACAACCGAGGTACACGCCCTTAGCGGGAACTGCACCCGGGTCTCTGTGGACCGCAGGCCGATGCTCTAACCTCTGAGCCAAACTGGCCAGGGTCCTTTTTAGTTTCTTTCTCTAAGCACTGCTGTATCAGCATCTCACAAATTTTGTTTTCATTTTCACTCAGTTCAAATTATTTCATAATCTTCCTTATTATTTCTTCTTTGACTCATGGGTTATATAGATGTATGTTTAATCTACAAATATTTGGGGATTTTCTAGATACCTCTCAATTATTGATTTATAGTTTAATTTCACTGTGGTCAGAGAACATATTTTGTGTGATTCTAGTCTTCTCAAGTTTATTGATATTTGTTTTATGACTCAGATTATTGTTCCGTATGTTTTGGAAATAATATGTGTCCTGCTGTTGTTGGGTGAAGTGTTCTATAAATGTCAATTGAATTGTGTTGGTTGATAAGTGTTTTTCAAAACCTCTCTATCCTTACTTACTTTGTCTACTTCTACCCAATTCCTGTAATAGAAATATTGATATCTCTAACTATAATTGTGGATCTATTCATTTCTCCCTTCACTCTAAGTTTTTTGCTTCATGTATTTTGAAGCTATGTTATTAGGTGCATACACATATAGGATTATGTCCCCTTTATTAATTTACACATTTATTGATATGGAAAGTCCCTCCCTTTTGATCTTTGGTAATATTTCTTGTTATAATCTGTTATTAATATAGCCACTCCAGCATTCTTTTGATTAGTATTAGCCTGGTTTATCTCTTTCCATTCTTTTACTTTTAACCCATAGATATCTTTTTATTTAAAGTATGTTTCTTATAGACAGCAGATAGTTGAGTCTTGGTTTTTAATTGAATTATACAATCTTTTTTTTATTTTTTGTTAATCCTCAGTCAATGATATTTTTCCATTGATTTCTAGATAGAGTGAAAGAGAGGGAAGGAGGGAGAGAGAAAAACATCCATGTGAGCGGGACACATTCATTGGCTCCCTCTCTCACAACCCCCGGGCCAGAAATCGAATCTGCAACTCAGGTACATGCTCTTGACCAGGAATCAAACCTGTGACCCTTTGGTCCATGGGCCAACTTTCTAACCACTGAGCCAAACCAGCCAGGGTGCAATCTTTATTTTTTAATTTGATGTTCATGTCATTTACATGTAATTTAATTATCAGTATTTTGGGTTTAAAAGAAAGGAGAAAAGAAGGGAGTGGGAAAGGAAAATGGGGAAAAAAAGAAAGGACCCTACATTGGGAGTCAGGAAGCCAGGTTGAAGTCCTGACACTACCTCCCAGCTCTATAACTTGAGGTAAATCTCCTAACTCCTCTGAGTTGTGGCTGCCTCACACATGTTTGTAAGGATGAATAAGTTATTTATAAACTACAACATGCTCTGAAATTGTAAGGATTAAAGAACTATCCAGTGCCAGATATATAGGCAGGTATCCATAAGCCAAGGTATGAGCACCTCTGTCACATCTCACTTTTTTCTATATTTCCAGCACCTCGCCCCATGTATGGCACATAGAATGTTACCAGTAAGTGTTTTTTGAGTGAAAGAGTCAACGAAAGAAGTAACTTTGAGTAAGTGAATGAATGATAGTATATGAAAGACAGGTGGGTGTCAGATGACAAGTTATTAAGTGGCCATGGCTCTGCTAAGAACTGAACTTACTTTGATTACTTATTTCTTAAATGGGAATACTTTTCAGTAGCATGGAAGAATAATTTGCATGTATATGTATTTGTATTTACATATTTGTTCATTCAACATGTGTTTATTAAGTGCCTACTATGTGCCAAGCACAGTTCCAGGTCCTGGGCATACAACAATGTCCGTTCTAACCATTTGTTTTTAAAAGGCCTCTTGCAATGAGGACCGTTTTCAGTATGTGAAAAGTGCTGATTAAGCCCTAATCCCTGGTGTAAATGCAAACATACTGCCATTAACTGATTGACTATAATTTTTAAAAAATTTTTATTAATTTATTTTTTTTACAGATGTTTCTCCTTTTCCCCCCATTGACACCCTCCTCCCAATCCCTCCCCCCCCCCCAAAAAAAAAACCCGGCTATAATTTTTTTAAGTTCTCTTCAGAAAAAGAACTTTTTCTAATTGCTTTTTCCTATTTTTTACCATTAACACTTAATTTGGGAGCAAAATATTTAATTTATTTTTAAGCAACAAGACAAGTTAATATATATTAGGTAACAGATAGATGACAATCATTCTTCCAATCAAACTGATGATGTCACTGGAGAAAAGAAGGTCAGTTGGAACCTGACGTCTGGCAGTTACCAGGAGCTGTGGCTAGGCATAAGTTACCCAGGAGCTGCCCCAGGGCCCTTAATTCCAAAGCAGCCAACATCACGTGTCCAGGCTTGTGTACTAGAGACACAGGACATCTTTGTGACTAACAAAGTGGTCCAAAAATGGAGAAAGACGAGCTCTCACAGTTGGTGACTCCTGCATCAGTGAAAGCCATCATCTCGAGGATTGAGGCGGCCCAGCTAACTCGGGCTCAGGAGGTAACTGGAGATGAGGGAGTAGTCCTTCTGTTGGGGTCGATGTGGCAGTTGGAGACTGATCCTAGATTTAGGCAAGATTCCAGGTCTGGGCCCTTGGGGGTCCTGGGATCCTTGGCAAGCTGGGTTTTCAGACAGATTAGTGTAAAATATTGTATTCACTTCATAGACTTGGCCTCATCACGGCAGGCCATAGTCAAATCACCCTCCCCAACCCCCCACCCCAAGGCAGGGCTGGGCCCAGGAAGGGAAGAGCCCATGGAAACCCCAGGATGGCCCTGAGACACATAGGGTGGGTCATAGCAAGGCAAAAGGAGGGGTCTGTTTTTGGTGACCTGTCAGAATCCCCCATGCTGAGCCCTAGAAGCTCACAGTGAAATGGCTAAAGGCTGGAATCAACCTGCTCTTGAGCCTCTAGTGCATTTTTTTTTTTTATCCTCACCCTAGGACATTTTTCCATTTTTTGTTCAGGCAGAGTGGGAGGGAGAGAGAGGAACAGAGAGAGAGAGAGAAACATCGATGTGAAAGGAACACATCGAGTGGCTGCCACCCACACGACTGACCAGAGCCGGGGACAAACTGCAACCGAGGTACGCGCCCTTAGCAGGAACCGAACCCGGGTCTCTCAGGACCGCAGGCCGACGCTTTAACCGCTGAGCCAAATCAGCCAGGGCTCTAGTGCATTTTTTATGGGAGCCTCTGATCCTGAGAGTTTCTTGGGGCCTAATTTTTCCAGTCTGTTGTCTCTAGATCCTTGTGAGGAGAGATATCTAGACATCCCCAGCAAATTCTGAAATTCTGAAGTGATTGTTGTGTATTTTTAGTATTCTCTCCCTGACCTGGTCTTAATAATCAAAATGACAGTAATAAGAGCTACTACTCATTTATGTGCCAGACACTGTCCTAAGTGCTTTACAAATTCATTTAATATTTACAAAAACCCTGTGACATAGGTACTATAATGATCTCCACTTTACAAATAAGAAGACAGAGGCCCCAAGAAGTTACATGACTTGGCTAAGATCACACTACTAGAACATGGCATCTGGTTGCAGAATTCATACCTCTAAGCACTGTATTCTTCCATCTTCCATATAGGATATTTCTTCCCAGCTCGCTGACATCTTGGACAATGTCAATTGTGTCATCAACCGCTTCCAGGAAGAACTGGGATACGATTTAAAGGAAACGGCAAAATCTCACCAGATGGAGCAAAAGGGCAAGAAAAGATTCATCTTGTTGGAGAAAATTGCCTCTTTCTCCAAAGATGCTAAGACTAAAGAGAAGCACTTATACGAAATTCTCCGCTGGCTGGGTGACTGGGGTGAGTTTGCGGGCTGGGCGCCTTCCAGCTTGCTCAGTCTCTTCCCTTTGCTATCCTCTGTTTGCATTCTCTGGGAGGGGAGTGCAGGGTGGTGGTGCAGAGGAAGCAAAAGACATATCGCAGTGGCTGTCCAGTGAAACATTCTCCCACTCATGCCATAACACATCACTTTCACTCCCCAGAGTGGCAAACATGCAATTGTCCAAAATGTAACATTAGCTGCCATATGTGATGAAGCCTAAGTCACAGGTCCATTATATTATCTCATTCTTTTTTTTTTTAGTAAACACCATGTGTATTTTCTTTTGTTAATGAAGACATGAAACATTCAGAAAAGTATGTATTTTTAAAAAAAAACAAAAACAATAAAATTCCTAGAAAGAGGCTTGACAAGAAAAAACAAAGCAGCCCAAGTTCTATCCCTCACAACCAGAACCGGCTCTTAGCACAAATTGGCAACACCCTCCAACCCACAAAAGCACTGCTATTTGCCTGGCAAGCAGAATATGAAATATATGCCTTAGTTACTGAACTTGAACATTAAGCAAGATCACTGTGGAGTACATCTGGATGGGCTATTTCAATATCTACCTGGTCCAGTTTGAAATATGTGTGTAGGTCCAGTTTGTACACATTTCATAGGTATACTGAACAATATAAAACATCTATTATCCCATTACTTTAAAAATGGCAGTTCTTGTAGCTCCAACAAACCAGATTATTAAAAGCTCTCTTGAAAGAAATTCTCAGATGAAAATACATTAAAGAGAAATTCTTCAAATTAAACAAACCTCGTTCTTTTTACTAAAATGGTGGGATCAAGTAGAATGCCTATTCTGAAGACAGTTTCATTTATTTCCCCATGAGAAAAGGCCAAATTTTTCTGGACTGATATAATTTAAAAACTAAGACAATAAAAAAATAAAATATACACCTTAAGATATTATAAAACTTGAGATAATGCCAGAGCTTATGGAATGGAAGATAAGAGTTCTGATTCCTCCCCCAAAGGAAACTGTAACAGGTTCTAAGGGAAAAACAAACAAAACCAACCAGAACTCTGAATATGGATAGCACTACACAGACTCTAGCACAGAATGCCACATAAGAACTAGTCACACATCAGAAATATCATGAGAGGACTGGCTGGGGACTTACACTCCCAGCAACAGAGCTCCTAGGTCAGAGCGTGTTACAAGCTTGTAATACCAACAAGGACTGCCCGCCCCCCAAGGAGCACAGGCTGCATGCATGGGCTATCACAGACATGATATTCAGCAGCATAAAAATAATAACCTCCACAGAGCCCCCCGACTGGGGCGAAACCTATTTTCACAGCTAAGCCTGGGAAAGACTGAGTGGGACAAACTCACTTGTAACTCCCGTATCTGAATGACAGGCATGTCCAATCTGATGCTATATGTTAAAACACTAAGACATATGAGTAAAGAAAAACAGAAACAAAAGGCTAAATTATGATCCTTGAAAACTGGAAAAAAACATGTTTTAAACCCAAGTAGGTGTGATTCTGATCATTATTATATATGACCTAATCCGTAGAGAGAAAGGCCAAGAAAAACATCTTCATTTTGTTCAATACTTAGGCTTGACGTCATTCTAGGTAAAGCAGTGATATTCAGTGTGTCATACATACAACTAAAAAGTCCCCTTCTGGTTTCAAATAAATTTAAGCAATCTCCTCTAATTTTTCTCCTGTGTCAAACAAACTCATGTACAGGACCGGTTTAAATCCTTCCTCCCTTCCAAACACTAGATGTGAACATCCGGGAACATTCTACAGTGTGAAGTGCCTTAAGAAAGAGAAGGGCTCTGTAGTGCCAATGACATAACTGCTCTGAGGAAGCTGGGGTGCTAGTAACACTGACGGACCAGTCAGGCAATGGTGGTTTGCTTCTCCTCAGGTGTCTCCAACAACTGCATGATCAGTTCATGGAGGGGTTTGCAGATCTTTGCCTAGCCCCCTCCTGTGAGATGCAGAAAATCAAACATGTCGTGGAAGGATATGGCACTGTCCGGGTCCACAAAGCCCCCATCTGTATCTAGGAGCTGAACGTTGGCAAGCTTTGGCAGGGAAACCTTGAGGAGCTGGTTCACCTTGGCATTTTTTTGCCTCAAAGGGTTGGGCTTCTCACCTCGAGGTAATAAATCCAATACAATGATTTTGGCCTGTGGTTGCCTTGTGTTGATAAGTTGTACGATGGCCTCAATTCCACCTGCTACTTCTTCTGCCGTATTTTTATGGTTGTTTGTTCCAACCCAGACAACAATGACCTCGTATTGCTGCATTAACTGCATCATGGAGTCCCCCACAAACAGCACATCAAGCTCTTTGTCTTTGCGGTCCAGGACAAATCTGTTGTGCTGAGACATCCATCTGTCATCTCCTTGAACATCTTCCGCCGCATGTGGAATGGCTGCTGGGTTTGAGTCTCCTTGGCTCTTTCTACACTCAGGCAAAGGGTCCGTGCAGGCCCAAGTGGCTGCGGCATCTGCGGGTGGCACATCTGTCACTTGCTCAGTCCTAGTGGCCCCACTCCGGTGCATCCCTCCTCGGGCCAGAGCTCCAGCAGCAGCATATTATCTTATTCTTTAGCGAGAAGGAAACTAACTTCAGACCCACCCTATTTTATTTTATTTATAATTTTTCTACCTTTATTGAGACTTAATTGAAAAATAACATTGTGTAAATTGAATGTGTACAATGAGCTGTATATATATGTTGTGAAATTATTATCACAAAAAAGTTATTTAACACATCCATCATCTCACATAGTTACCCTTTTTTATGTGGTGAGAACCTTTCAGATCTACTCTCTTGGCAAATTTCAAGTATACAATACATTATTGTTAACTATAGTCACCATGCTGTACATTAGATTCCCCAGAACCTATTGAACTTATAATTGAAAGTTTATACCCTTGACCAACGTCTTGCCCTTTACCCTGACTTCCAGCCCCTGGTAACCACCAATCTATTATCTGGTTCTAAAACTTTTAGATTCCACACATAAGTGAGGTCATACAGTATTATCTTTCTCTGTCTGACTTATTTCACTTAGCCAACTACCCTCAAGGTCCATTCATGTTGTTGCAAATGGCAGGATTTCCTCCTTTAAAAAAAATTTTTTTCTTTATTGGTTTTAGAGAGAGAGAAAGGGAGAGGGAGAGAGAGATGGTAACATCGACGAGAGAGGACATTGATTAGCTGCCTCTTGCATGCTCCCCACTAGGGATCAGGCCCACAACCTAGGCATGTGTTCCTGACTGGGAATCGAACCAGTGATCTCTTGGTGTATGGGTCAATGCTCAACCACTGAGCCACACTGGCTGGGCAGGATTTCCTTCCTTATGACTGAATAATATTTCACTGTATATACCACGTTAAAATTTTTATTATTTTCAATTACAGTTGACATTCAATATTATATTAGTTTCAGGTGTATAGCATAGTGGTTAGACATTTACATAGCTTTACAAAATGATTCCCTTGATAAGTCTAGTACCCACCTGACACCATACATAGTTACTACATTATTGACTATATTCTCTATGTTGTACTTTACAGCCCCATGACTATTTTGTAACTTACAATTTGTACTTCTTTTTTTTTTTTTTTTATCCTCACCTGAGGACATTTCTCCATTTTTTGTTCAGATAGAGCGGGAGGGAGAGAGAGGAAGAGAGAGAGAGAAACATCGTTGTGAAAGGGACGCATTGAGTGGCTGCCACCCGCACGACCAACCAGGGCCGGGGACAAACTGCAACCAAGGTACGTGCCCTTAGTGGGAACCGAACCCGGGTCTCTCTGTACCGCAGGCCGACGCTCCAACCGCTGAGCCAAACCGACCAGGGCACAATTTGTACTTCTTAATCCCTTCATCTTTTTCACTCAACCCTCCAACCCCCCTTGCATCTGGCAACCATCAGTTTGTACTCTGTATCTATGAATTTCTGTTTTGTTTATTTTGTTTTTTAGATTCCACATATAAACAAAGTCATATGGTATTTATCTTTGTCTGACTTATTTCACTTAGCATAACACCCTCTAGGTCCATTCATGTAGTTACAAATGGTAAGATTCATTCTTTTTATGGTTAAGTAATATTCCGTTATACCACATTTTCTTTATCCGTTCACTCATTGACTGACATTTAGGTTGTTTCCATATCTTGGCTCTTGTAAATAATGTTTTGATGGACATGGACATACAGATATCACTTGGAGATAGTTATTTTACTTTATTTTTAGATATATATATATTCAGCCCTGGGATTGCTGGATCATATAATAATTCTATTTTTAATTTTTTAAGGAAACTATACTGTTTTCCAAAATGGTTGTATCAGTTTACATTCTCATCAACAATGCACAAGGGTTCCCTTTTATTCACATCCTCACCAACACTTATCTCTTATTTTTTCATAATAACCATCCTAACAAGTATGAGGTTATATTTCTTTGTAGTTTTGATTTGTAGTTCCCTGATGACTAGTGATGAACATCTTTTCATGTACTTTTGGCCATTTGTATGTCTTCTTTAGAAAAAAACTATTCAGATTCTTTGCTCATTTTTAAATTGGATTGTATTTTTGATATTGAGTTGTAGGAGTTCTTTATATATTTGGGGTATCAATCCCTTATCAGACATATGGTTTACAGATATTTTCTCCCATTCTGTAGGATGCCGTTTCATTTTGTTGATCATTTCTTTTACTGCAGAAATTTTTTAGTTTGATGTAGTCCCACTTGTTTATTTTTGGTTTTGTTGCCTTTGATTATGGTGTCATATCTAAAATATCATTGCCAAGATCATATTGAGAAGCTTTCCCCCTATGTTTTCCTCTAGGAGTTTTATGGTTTCAGGTCTTACATTTAAATTCTTAATCCATTTCAAGTTAATTTTTTTTTTTATCCTCACTCAAGGACATTTTTGCATTTATCTTCAGACAGAGTGGGAGGGAGAGAGGCAGGAAGAGAGAGAGAGAGAGAGAGACATCGACTGGTTGCCACCCACACGACCCCAACCGGGGCCGGGGACAAACTGCAACCAAGGTACATGCCCTTAGCGGGAACTGAACCCGGGACCCTTTGATCTGCGGGCTGATGCTCGAACCACTGAGCGAAACCGGCCAGGGTTCAAGTTAATTTTTATGAGTGGTAGGATAGGGATCCAATTTCATTCTTTTGCATGTGAACATCTAGGTTTACCAATGCCATTTATTGAAAAGACTGTCCTCTACCAGTGTGTATTCTTAGCGCCCTTGTCATTATTAGTTGACTCTATATGCATGGGGTTTATTTCTGGGCTCTTGAATCTTTTTTTTTTTTTTTTTGGTTAATCCTCACCTAAGATATTTTCCTATTAATTTTTAGATAGAGTGGAAGGGAGAGAGGGAGAGAGGGAGAAACATAGATATGAGAGTGACACATCGATTGATTGCCTCCCACACAACCCCAACAGGGGCCGGGGATTGAACCTGCAACCCAGGTACAGGCCCTTCACCGGGGATCAAACCCATGACCCTTTGGTCCACAGGCCAATGCTCTAGTTGCTGAGCCAAACTGGCAAAGGCTGGACTCTTGATTCTTTTTTTTTTTTTTTTTGTGGTACGTGCCCCTAGCAGAAACCAAACCTAGGACTCTTTGGTCCACAGGCTGATGCTCAACTGCTGAGCCAGGGCTGGACTCTTCTTCTTCTTTTTTTTTTTTTATCCTCACCCAAGGACATTTTTCCATTTTTTTGCTCAGGTAGAGTGGGAGGGAGAGAGAGGAACAGAGAGAGAGAGAAACATCGATGTGAAAGGGACACATCGAGTGGCTGCCACCCGTACAACCGACCAGGGCCGGGGACAAACTGCAACCGAGGTACGTGCCCTTAGCGGGAACCGAACCCGGGTCTCTCAGGACTGCAAGCCGACGCTCTAACCGCTGAGCCAAACCGGCCAGGGCAGGGCTGGACTCTTGATTCTTATTCCATTGGTCTACATGTCTGTTTTTATGCCAGTATCATACTGTTTTCATTACTATAGCTTTGTAATATAGTTCGAAATCAGGTAGTGTGATGTTTTGTTTTTCTTTTTTTTTTTATTCTCACCTGAGGACACTTTTCCATTTTTTGTTCAGATAGAGTGGGAGGGAGGGAGAGGGAGAGGGAGAAGGAGAGAGAGAGAGAGAGAGAGAGAGAGAGAGAGAGAGAGAAACATCAACGTGAAAGGGACACATCAAGTGGCTGCCACCCACACGACCAACCAGAGCCGGGGACAAACTGCAACCAAGGTATGTGCCCTTAGCAGGAACCAAACCCGGGTCTCTCTCTGGCTAGGCTGTTTTCCTTTAAAAATATATATATTTTTTTATGCCTGGCCGGTGTGGCTCAGTGGTTGAGCGTTGACCCATGCACCAAGAGGTCAGTGGTTTGATTCCCAGTCAGGGCACATGCCCAGTTTGTGGGCCTGATCCTCAGTGGGGGGCATGCAGGAGACGGCCAATCGATGTCCTCTCTCATCGATGTTTCTCTCTCTTCCTCTCCCTTCCTCTCTCTGTAAAATCAATAAAGAAAAAAAATAAAAATATTTTTATTGCCCGGCTGGTGTGGCTCAGTGGACTGGGCATTGTGCCATGGACCGATAGGTCCCGGTTCAGTTCCTAGTCAAGGCACCTGCCCAGGTTTTGGGCTTGATCCCCAGTGGGAGGCCTGCAGGAGGCAGCCTATCTTTGTTTCTCTCTCACATCTATGTTTCTATCTCTCACTCCCTAAAAATAAAAATAAATAAATAATATTTTAATTGATTTTTTTAGAGTGAGAGCATAACATCGATCAGCTGCCTCCTGCATGCCCTCTACTAGGGACCAAGCTCACAGTCTGGGCATGTGCCTTGACTGGCAATTGAACCGGCAACCCTCTGGTACATAGGATGACGCCCACCCAACTGAGCTATATTCACCTGGGTTGATGTTTTGTTTTTCTTTCTCAGGATTGCTTTGGCTATTTGGGGGCTTTTGTGGTTCTTTATAAATTTTAGAATTGTTTTATCTATTTTTGCAAAAAAATACCATTCATATTGTATTGAATCTATAGATGGTTTGGGGTAGTATGGACATTTTAACAACATTAATTTTTCCAATTCATGAACATGGGGTATCTTTCCATTTATATGTATATTCTTCCATTTCTTTCATCAGTGTCTTATAGTTTTCAGTGTAGAGATCCTTCACCTCTCTGGTTAAATGTATTCCTAAGTATTTATTGTTTTTTCATTTATTTTTATTAATTTTTTAGAGAGGAAGAGAGAGAGAGATAGAAACATGATGTGAGAAAGATACATCCAACAGCTGCCTCCTGCATGCCCCCCGACCAGGTATCGAGCCCACAACCCAGGCATGTGCCCTGATCAGAAATTGAACCAGGACCTCTCAGTCCATGGGACAACACTCAATCCACTGAGCCACACCAGCAGGGCCTAAGTATTTATTGTTTTTTATGCTATTGTAAATGGATTTTCTTTCTTTCTTTTTCAGATAGTTCATTGTTAGTGTATAGAAATGCAATTGATCTTTGTATGTTAATTTTGTATTATGCAACTTTACTGAATTTATTTATTCTAACAGTTTTTTGGTGGTGCACACTAGCTATTTTATACAGGAACTCAAAGTTGTTATTCACAGTACTAAATGACCCTTACTGGATAAACACTGGGCCAAACAGCACTGATGCTAACTTTAAGAAACTAGTATAGCCATTTGGGTGTGGACCAGCTGCATGCAACCCTGGAGCCAGGTGCTACCCCCATTATCAGAGTTATCCCATCACAAGATCTCAGTCTGCTGTGAAGTGTGATAGATGCTGCAATGTTGGAAGAAGGTGATATAGGGATGTGCCCAACCCCCCTCACACTGTCCTGTCCCCGAGGAGCTCTCAGTTCAGTGATTCTTCAGCCACCCCCAGGAACTAAGCAGTGCTGTTGAGTCCAGTTAATCCATTTAATTGTCCAGATCCTGGAGTAGAGCAGTAACAAAGCAGACACATCACTGGCCTTATAAATACAATACTGTTTAATGTCTCTATTACATATTTTCTACCTTGCAGGCCTCACATTGATCATTTCACATGTATTATCTCATTTAATCTCCACCCAATCCTTTTATAGGCAAGGATACTGAGGCTCAGGGGCATAAACGACATGCCCAATATCACATAGCTAGTAAGAGGTGAAAGCAGTTTGATCTCAAAACCTGTTATTGTAACCCTTGTGTGATAGGGCTGCTTGGAGCTCTGTAGAAGACAGATTGTTCTCAGCCTAAACCTCCCATTTCCTCTCCAGGTGACAGTCTGACCTATGAGATCAGGAGCAGGAACAGCGAGACAGAAGAGGAAGTCATGGATGAATGGATTGAGGTGATGGAGAAGGTGTTACCTCTCTCCCTCATCACCACCAAAGGAGGCATTGAGTCTCTCATTTCCCTTTGCTCCACTCTTATTGAAGGACAAAAGAAAAGGGCACAAAGTAGGTTCCAGGTGTACCTGGGAGGGGACTGAGTGGGGTGGATGCCATCTCAGGGGAGAAGTCACATAACCAGGGTCCATGGTCGTCTTTCTGACTCAGATAAAACAAAAGCTTTATCTGAGATGGATGGGTAGTGGTGAGTGGTTGGGATATTTTTTGTTTGTTTATTAATCTTCACTCAAGGATACATTTTCCATTGATTTTTAGAGAGCATGGAAGTGGGGGGCATTGATATGAGAGAGACACATTGATTGGTTATTTCCGGCGTGTGCCCCTACCGGGGCCAGGTATTGAACCTGTAACCTAGGTGCGTGACCTTGACTGTGAATTGAACTGTGACCCTTTGGTGCACAGTCCAACACTCTAACCACTGAGGCACACCAGCCAGGGAAAGGGGTTGGGATAATAAACCCAAGCTGAACACTAAGCATTTCTGAGCTGTCCCTTGGGGCTGGAGGAAGGGGTGATGTAGAGAAATCACCTATCGGTGCTCCCTGGAGTTGTAATCTCATGTAAATTCTGGGGAACAAGGCTGGAAGGCCAGAAAAGCTGGAGTTTGTAGCTAGAGCCTGAGATACATCCTTTCCTTACTCCAAACCTAGCCACAGAGCCAAGAGTTTGGTGAGACTCTACCAAAGGTTCCAGAACCTTTTAATTGTGGCTGCTCCAGAAGTGGTCAGTCAACAACATGGTTCAACCTTGAAATTTTACTCCTATCAGCACTAGAAGAGATGTGAGATTATCTAACTCCTACATTTTTTATTTTTTTATCCTCACCCGAGGACATTTTTTCATTTTTTGTTCATATAGAGTGGGCGGGAGAGAGAGGAAGAGAGAGAGAGAGAGAAACATTGACGTGAAAGGGACACATCGAGTGGCTGCCTCCCGCACGACCCAACCAGGGCCGGGGACAAACTACAACATAAGTACATGCCCCTAGCAGGAACCGAACCCAGGTCTCTCCGGACCACAGGCTGACGCTCTAACCGCTGAGCCAAACCAGCCAGGGCTAACTCCTACATTTTGTAGATGAGAACATTAAAGCTCAAAGAAGAAAAGGGACCACAAAGAAAGCTTGTGACAAAACCAGGCCCTACACTTAGGTTTTTTGGCTTCTCCTTCTTTTCCTTCTTTTTTCCTTTATTGATTTTAGAGAGAGAGGAAGGGATAGGGAGAGAGATAGAAACATGGATGAGAGAGAACATCAATTGGCTGCCTCCTACATGCCCCCCACTTGGGATCTGGCCCACAACCTGGGTATGTGCCCTGACTGGAAATCGAACTGGCAACCTCTTGGTCGATGCTCAACCACCGAGCCACACCGGCAAGGCTCTGGCTTCTTTTTTTTTAAATCTTTATTGTTGAATGTAAAATGTATTACAGATGTTCCACATTTTTCCCCCATTGACCCCCTCCTCCCCACTCCCGCCCCCCTCCTGCCTTTTCCCACACTATTGTCTGTGTCCATTGGTTATGCGTATAAGTTCTTTGGTTTATTTCTTCCCACCCCCAACCCCTTTCCCTTTGAGGTTTGTCAGTCTAGCAATGAATTTGTGCTTCTTAATCCCTTCACCTTTTTCACCCATTCCCCCAACCCCCCTCCCAACTGGCAACCGACAAAATGTTCTCTGTATCTATGAGAATGTTTCTGTTCTGCCTGTTCATTTTGTTTGTAGATTCCATTGTCATTGCCATTTTGTTTGTTCATATATTTTATCCTTTTCTTCAAAAAGACCCTTCATCATTTCATATAATAACGGTTTGGTGGTGATGAACTCCTTTAACTTTTTCTTGTCTGGGAAAGTCTTTATATGGCCATCAATTCTAAATGACAGCTTTGCAGGATAGAGTAATCTTGGTTGTAGGTTCTTGCTTTTCATCACTCTGAATATTTCTTGCCACTCCCTTCTGGCCTGCAAAGTTGCTTTTGAGAAATCAGCTGACAGCCTTATGGGAACTCCCCTGTAGGTAACTATCTGCCTTTCTCATGCTGCTTTTAAGATTCTCTCTTTGTCTTGAACCTTTTGCATTTTGATGATGATGTCTCTTGGTGTGGGCCTCTTGGGGTTCATCTTGTTTGGGACTCTCTGTGCTTCCTGGACTTGTATGTCTGTTTCCTTCACCAAGTTAGGAAAGTTTTCTGCCATTATTGTTTCAAACAGGTTTTCGATTTCTTGTTCTCGCTCTTCTCCTTCTGGCACCCCCAAGATGCGAATGTTGGCACGCTTGAAGTTGTCCCAGAGGCTCCTTACACTATCCTCATTTTTTTGGATTCTTTTTTTTTTTTTTGCTGTTCTGATTGGGCATTTTTTGCTTCCTTATATTCCAAATCAATGGTTTGCTCCTTGGATTTACGTACTCTATTATTGAAGCTGTGTAAATTATTCTTTATTTCAGTTAATGCCTCCTTCAATTCTAACTGTGCATCCATGATTTCTGACTGATCCTTTTTTATGCTCTTGAGGCCCTCACTAAGTTCACTGAGCTTTTTACTAAGTTCATAGAGCATCCTTATAAGCAGTATTTTGAACTCAGCATCTGTTAGGTTGCTTATCTCCATTTCACTTAGTTCTTTTCTTGGGGTTTTGTTCTGTTCTTTCATTTGTGACCTGTTTCTTTGTCTCCTCATTTTGGCTGCCTCCCTGTGTTTGTTTCAGTGTATTACTTAACAAGAGGTATGGGGCTAGCTGAGACCAGATGCTGCTCGTTTGAAAGAATTTAAGAAAAACCTGAAGCAGGATCCAAGACAGGCCAATCCTATGGTTAAGCAAGTGGCAACAGCTTGGGTGGGCCTGAAAGTTGGGTGGGGCAGGGAGGGGCCTCAGGGAGTCACCAGGGCGGGGCTACCAGTGTGAGCCAGGTTGCTGGAGTCCCAGATATGGCTTCTGTCTGCTGCCCCAGGGAAGGGCTCACCAAAGGAACAAAGGTCTCTGACAGCACGTTTGTCCCGAAGAAAGCTCCCTCTCCAGCCCTTGCTTCAGTGCCAAACAGCTCAGTTCTTCCCTGTATGTCTCTGGCACCCCTGGAGCTGCCTCCCCTCCAAGCTTAGAGGGAGAAAGTCCGATAAGTTCGTGCGCGGGCCTTTTAAGGAGCTGCCTGGGGCTCCAGCCGCTTCAGCTTCCCTGAGCCTCAGTTCCCGCTGGTTTTTCCAGCCAGAAGTTATGGGGACTTCTCTTCCTGGCACTGGAACCCTGAGCGGGGCACCTGGTGTGGGACGGGGACCCCTCAGTCCTCAGGGAGGACCTTCTCTGGCTTCTTAATCTTACTTGAAAGCATGGGCTTCAGAATAAGACAGATCTGACTTTGAATCCTGTGTGCCAATTTATGGCTGTGTGACTTTGGGCAAGTTACTTCATCTTTCTGAACCTCACTTTCCTCACGTACAAAATGAAAAGGTTACTGTCCACTTGCGAAGTTCCACTTGGTATAGATATCTGGCAATAAGAATATGCTCAGGGCTTAATGAACAATAGCTAATATTAGCATTCTACCATTGACTCTCAAGGACAGGTTCCCTATCATCAAGCAAGGTCCATGGTTGAAGGAGGGAGGAAGCAGGGAAAGGTGGATGAGGAGATAATCTCTCCTACAATCCTTACCATATTATTTCTCCAAACATAGTTATTTGTATACTTGACTTATTTCCTTGCTGGAATATAAACTCCTAGAAGGCAAAGGCTTTATCTTACTTCTTTTTAGGGATTAGTTATTGAGTACTTACTAGGTACCTGGTACTACAGTTGGCTCTAACCATGCTTTAAGTTAAATACTATTAATTAGATGTTATGATTATCCCCATCTTTCAGAGACAGGGGCACTAAGAAGTTAGGAAACTTGCCTAAAGCATGTGGTAAAGATGAGATTCAAGACCAAGTTATCTGGTTCCAGAATCCAGCTCTGAACCACTAGGCAAAATGGTCTCTCTGACAGTATTAGCTGGATGCTAGCTTGACTTCACTGTCATTTAATTTCCATATTTTCTTTAGCCCTCATCCAAAGTTAGCCAATTTTTTTTGCCAGTGATGTTCGTTGAGTGGGCAAATGAATGGGTGCTCCAAGATCATCATTCTAGCAGCCCTACACATGGTAGATCCAAGGGGATACAACTGTGACCATGACCCAACCCTGAGGAGCTGACATCTATGAATGGGTTTAACCATAGAGTTCACAATCTGTGTTTATGTATGTTTTCCTGGGGAGAAGGTTTCCTGCTTTCATCAAAGTATCAAAGAAGTTTGTAACTCCCCAAAATGGAAAAAGACATTAGATGTTAAAACAAACAAACATATGAACAGTTATAGGACTGTGTGATAAATTCTCTACAAACACAGTTCAGTGAAAACAAAAAAGGGAAATAAAGTTTCCCAGGTGATCTGGAGTCTAAGTGCCAGGTAGGCTTCCAGCATTTGGATAATTGGCAAACATAGGTATTGAGGCTAGGAAGTAGCATGATTAGAAAAGTAACTTTGCTCCAGGGAAATATTTGAATTGAGTTGAACTGGATTGAATAAGACCAGGCTCCTCTGGGCTCTGCAGGTGCTATGGAGCTGGTAGGCCCTAACAGGTAAGCCCTCAGCAAGCTCTGAGCCTAGTAGAAATCTCTCCTGACATCTCCCCTAGCCTCACATATAGCCCCAGCTCCTTTCTTGCCAAAGCTCTAGGAGGACTGGATGAGAATTTGGCCAAGCAGCATTTGGAGAAGCAGTATAATCCTTGGGACCCTTGGGAGCTTATTGCTTTTGTTCTCTCTACTTCTTCTAGTGTTCAAACACAACTTCTGGCAAGGCTGGCGGGAACAAAGCCTGCAAAAATCTACATCCTACCCTCAGCCACTGAGTCCACAGCAGATGCTCCAGGACAAAAATACTACCTGCAGGAGGGTTTCTGAAGTAAGGTCCATGCTTCAGGAACTCCTGGACTCCACCATGTTCAACCAGGGGGAGGTCAGGGCCATCAGGTACATGTCTGCTGTGGTGGAGAACCTCAACAAAGCCTTGATCCTCCAGCACAATGAGAACAGGGGCTTGGAGACCAGATACAGGCAACTGAAAACTGAGATGACCAAAGAACTCAGCAGCCAGAGGCTATACTTCCAGCAGTCCCTCCAAGTTCTGGAGAGTAAGAGGGATGCCTTATTAAGGCAGGTAGAAACTCTAGGGGGAAAGTACCATGACCTTCTCCTGATAAAGCACGCCTTAGAATTTCAACTAAATATGGCTCAGTCTGCTAGAAGTCAAGCAGAAGACCTGATCAAGATCTCTGTTGACTCCCCAGGCCCTCCTGAGAAAGAGATTCTCCCAAAGAAAGAATCAGTCATGGAGGAAACCCAACAGGAACCCGAGAAGGAAGAGAAGTTGTTTTCACCACTTTCCCCAAGTCCCGTGGCCACAGCTTGGGACAGTGGTGTTAGGTCTTTAAAATGTCAGCCACTTTCCATCATGTCTATGCATTCAAGGATTACAGATGCATACAGCAGCAGGGACAGTGAAAGTCTTCAGCTTATGTTGCCATCCTCGGTGGATCACAAGTTTCCCAAGGAATGGGAAATACCAGTGACAGAGAGCCCAGGCCACAAAGTCAAAGAGCAGAAGGACTTCTTCCAGAAAGCAGCCCAGGAGAAAGAAGGACTCCAAATTAAGTCCCATGTTAGAGAACAGCTGTCTCCAGAGAGATCCAGGACGGTGGAGCACTGGGAAGAGGAATTCAGCTGGCAGAGGTGGAGGCAGCAGTGGCAGGAGGAGGAAGAGCTGTGGCTGCAGCGGCAGAAGAAGTGGGCTCTGCTAGAGCAGGAGCACCAGGAGAAGCTGCGACAGTGGGAAATGGAGGAAGTGGCAAAGGAGCAGCAGCAGAAATTGGTCCAGATGGAAAAGGAGGAAGGGGGCCCACAGAAGGAGCTGGAGCGGCCAAGTGAGGACAAGGAGAGGACAATCTTCGTGACTACCCATCGATGGAGGGACTTGGAGAAGACATCACTGGCACCTCCCCCAATTCGAGCCCAATCTGCTCGCCAAAGCCGGAGGCCACACTTACCCAGGTCCACTAATACCCAGAAGCCCACCCCAGGAAATCAGAGGTCCATGAGTTCAACCAAGTTAACTCAGAAACCATGGACCCACCAGGTTCCCACAAAGCCCAAGAAATCAGCCTCCTTTCCTGTCACAACAGGGGCATCTCTCCGAAAAGTGACCCAGCCCCCTTTGCATATATCCTCTATAACTCTGAAGGGGAAGGTATACCACATGGACGTGGAAGCCCAGAGGAAGAACCTGCAGCTCCTGAGTGAGGATGCTGAGCAGAGGCTGCCCAACTTCCTGCGCAGCAAGGCCCTGGAGCTCACCACCACCACCATGGAGCTGACCATGCTCAGGCTGCAAAACCTGTGCCATAAGTATATTCTATACAGATGCTTCCAGAGCCTCCGGTAGGTCCTCCCTGGCACCTACCCACACCCACTGTGGTGTGTGGGCATAGTCAAAACCTAAGGGGAAAGGAGGAGCATGGGTTAAGAGGGGACAGGGAAAATCACCCTAGGCCTGAAAAAGGTCCTCCTGAGGCCTTGGGCAACCCTGAAGGAGTGGAGGTAGGGTACTTACACACTGTTCTCCCTATAATAGGCTTTTTCTCTAAGCCCACTTCCTTATTTCTTCCTCTCTTCCTACCTGCCCCATCCATAACCCACTTAATATGTTCCCCTACTTGCCTTACTTTCTTCCTATTTCTGGCCCAGCCCCAAGGCTCCTCACCTGACACTGACCCCACTTCTCCGCTCCATGTCTTCCCTACCTCTCACCAACTTCGCTTTTCTTCCTTCTCCCAGAAATTACAAATATGGAGTCATCTCTGGTTAGCAGACTTAGGGGGAAAAGGAGGCTCTTCACCCACTAAATGACTTCCTTTTCTCTCCAGACAAGAAGTGATCAACCACATACAAGCTATGAGAGAAACTGGGGCTACCTACAAGGCCCAGAGTCTCTACATCTTCCTGGAAAAAATCGATCACCTGCAGGGCCTCCGCCTGAAGGCCTGGACGGACAAGCAGAAGGGCCTGGAGGAGAAGCGCCGAGAGTGCCTGAGCAGCATGGTGACCATGTTCCCCAAGGTGGGTCTCCTGCCTGGTGACCTTCTCCGGGGTCAGCACAGACAGTAGGGATGGGGCCAGGAAATGAACTAATAGGAATGTGGAGTGTGACTGGAGGCAAGAGGGGCAGATGGTAAACAAGAGAACAGGTTAAAGCCTCTGAACCAGGAAGAGGTTAAGGCTGGAGGAGGCCTGGGTGTAAAGAAGGGCAGCTTTCCAATCTCCATATAGGGGAGAGCAATAGAGAGGGACTTTCAAACAGAGCTACAGAGGAAAGACTCTTCTGAGGCGGTGGGTAGCTGGATTCTACAGTCCTAGATTTGCACCGAGGTTCTCCCTCCCCTGTAGGTCTCTCTGCCCTGCTCCTGTGAGTTCTCCAGGCCTGGTCACAGCTGTCTTCACCCTTGCGCTGGGCACTTGCTTTGCTTCTCTCTGGGGACAGCTCCGCTGCTTCCTAGATGTCAGGTCTCCCTTCCGTGGAGCACTTCCTCTAGTCACTTCCTGACAAAGGGTTCCTGGCAGGTGAAATCACTGAGACCCTGGTTGTCTGAAAACATCTTTACTTAGTATCTACCTTTAGTCTTAGTTAACAGTTTGCCTGGATATGGAAGTTTAGGTTAAAATTCATTTTCCCTCACAATTTTGAAGACTGCCCGTTGCCTTCTAAGTTTTGGTGTTATTAAGAGTTTAAAGTAATTCTGAGTCCAGTCTGTTGGGTTTGGCCTATTTTTACTCTCTGAGGGCTGGCTTCAGTTTCTTTTACTCCTTCCCTTGTTACTGGGGCAGAGAAGTAGTGAGTGCTGACACAGTCTCCAAGGGGCTAGCCCATGGCTTGGAGGGATTGGAGAATCCTACAGCAGTGACTCAAAACCTAGGGCTGGGCCAGCAGGTAAGCCCCTGAGTCCTGAACAGCAGTGGCCTAGCTCTGGGGGAGGCAGTGTGCTGAGGGACTCTGTAAGTGCAGCCACAGGCAGTTGGAGAGCTTTGGCCATAGAGATTATCTCCCAACTCAGTTTCCTATCATTTTATACCAGTCCTGATCATCTCCTGTAAGTGTCCTAACTTGCTAAAGTGTCTTTGAGGTTGAGAAGAAAAGGGACCATATGACTTCTTTTGGTGATTGTGATGGTTTCCCCAGCTCCTTGCCCAGTGCCTGAGTGGGGTCTAGATGAAAGAGACCCTAAGCATTCCAGGCATAGCCTGGCCCCATGTCATTAACCCTGCTGCTCTGACTGCCTTTGTTTTTTTCCTTGCTGTTTTACCCATTGTTCAGATTCTCCATAGCAAAGGAGATATCAGGAACTAATCCATCAAATAAGAACTCAAGGAATTTCTAGGAAATTTGATACGTTGGGGCCCCAAAGGTTTCTAATTGGAGGAATTTCCTGGGTCTCACCCTCTCTGCTCAGCTCTGAGTTAGGCAATGCCTCCTGCCCTAGAGAGGGGATGACTTCCTGTCTCCCTAATGCCTCTCTGCTTCCTCTAGCTCCAGCTGAAGTGGAACATTCACCTGCACACCCCTGTGGTCACCTCCCCAAAGTCAAGGAAAAACAAGCCGCCCCCATCCTTACGCCGGCATGTCCACCCCAGCAGCCGCTTCTGCAAGCAGCCCCCAGAGCATCTTCCATCTAAGCACCAGGAATGTGTGCCCTTGTGGGTGGCCGGGTAGGTGCAGGAAAGCCAAGGGCACAGCCAGCTGGATGGGTGGGGAAGCAGGGAGCAGAGTGACCAGATTGGGGAGGCTGGCAGCTCTTCTAGGGCACAGACAGGCAAGACTCACCCCATGAGTTGCAAGGCAACTTTCTTCTCAGCCGCCCTGCTCAGCTTTGGCCATTGGCTCAGACGGGGGTGTGCGTATACACAGTGCTGTATAGGCTTCAGGGGCCAGCCTAACCAAATCTGTTTCAAACTATGCAATGGAAAGATTCTGAGCACCCACAGCTGAGAACTTAAAACCAGTTCTACCCTGAGCATTGATCTAGCACTTGCCATTGGTTTGTCCGTATAAACAAACCTGATCATTCCCACCATGTGACCCCGGGCTCAAAAAGACACACTGTGAGCCTCTGGGTAGCAGAAAAGACCCACCTGAGTGTGGCCCAGTTAAGGACTTTAGCTCCAGGACATGTGTCTGGGGGAGCCTCTTCCAGCTGCTCCTCAGCCAAAGGAGCCCCAGGAGAGTGAGACTTCGAGTTAAGGGGAAGAGAGGTGACAAGAAGGGCAGTAACAACTATTTGAAAAGGGAAGAAAACAGTGTCTTGAGCCTTGTGGCCCTGGAGAGCTTGTTAATTCTTAGTCTTTCTCTCTGTATGTCTAACTCTTTGTCTCTTTTTTATACTTTCCACCCCACCCCCTGCACCACCAGCCAAAGGGGTAACCAGATGGAGGCTGTTTGGAAGACTGACGTGGCCTCCTCTAGTCACCCAGTAGAAAAGAAGACCCCTGCCAGCCTGTCCTGGGACCAGCTAGGGGGGTGCCCAGACATTCCCCAGCTGGTGGCATTGGATGTGCATTCCTCCTACCATAAAAGCTTGATGTCCCTTAAGGCCCGGTAAGATGCAAGGCTGGGTGGTTAATCTGGATTCAGGAAGATCTGCCCACCAAGGGCGGGGGCCAGAGTATACACACTGTCTCTGTCCAGCGCCTCAAGACATCTCTTTCCAAACATGACCTCATTTATTATGCCACATCAGACAGAGTGAAGCTTTCCTGTCTCATCAGCTATCACTTTGGGTCTCCACGCCAATACCAATCTAGTTTTCTCAAAGACCTTTCCATGGTGTCTCAGAAGATCACTACAGAAGTCTTTCCTTCTGCTTGTTTCCTGGGCTGCCCATGAATTACTCAAGAGGGGTATCTCACCCCAGGTCTGGGGGTTGTTTTCAAAGGGAGCCAGGTACAGAATGGATAGATGAGGAAGACCAAGAACCACATGGTAAACCTGAGACTTGGGCCTGGGTCTGTCTTTGGCATTGTCATTTCCTTAAGGCCTTCAAGAACTGTTCCTGGGACCCTGGCTGGTTTGGCTCAGCGGTTAGAGCGTCGGCCTGCGGTCCAGAGAGACCCGGGTTCGGTTCCCGCTAAGGGCACGTACCTCGGTTGCAGTTTGTCCCCGGCCCTGGTTGGTCGTGAGGGTGGCAGCCACTCGATGTGTCCCTTTCGCATGGATGTTTCTCTCTCTCTCTGTTCCTCTCTCTCCCTCCCACTCTACCTGAACAAAAATTGGTAAAATGTCCTCGGATGAGGATTAAAAACAAAACAAAACCAAAGAACTGTTCCTGGTACGATAAGCTGAGTGGAAAGAGGCAGGAGTCAGTGGGCCAACAATCAGCCTTTCTGGTGAGGAATGTTCAACTCTTCTTTGCCTCTCTTGGCTTGAAAATGTCACTATTGAAGACTCAAGGCTCTTTCAAGCAGCCTCTCTAAATTTTTTCTATTTATTGGTTGATTTTAGAGAGAAGGGAGAGAGAGAAACATTAATTTATGCATTCATTGGTTGAATTTTGTATGTGCCCTGATGGGGATTGAATCTGCAACCTCAGTGTATCAGGACAACACTCTAATCAACTGAGCTATCTGGCCAGGGCTCAAGCAGCCTTTCTAGATGACCAATCCCAGCTGCCTCCTGTGGCCCTGGCCCTGTCCCAGTTAAAGATCTCTGACGGGGCCCCGGCCAGGTGTCTCAGTTGGTTGGAGCATCGTCCCATACACCAAAAAAGATGTGGGTTTGATTCCTGGTGTACAGGAGGCAACTAATCTCTCTAAAAACCAATAAGCATATAATCGGTTGAGGCTCAAAAAAACAAACAAAAAACAAAACTCTTAAGCCTGAAGCTGAAGAGCTCTTTGACAGGGAGAGGGCATTGATGCCTGCCAATCTAGACCTATCCAGAACCAAGAGCTATAAGATGCTGGTGCTGCCGCCATCCTCCAGACAGGGACTTAGGGAAGACAGGGTAGCTGGGCAGCATCAAAGAAGGCTGGTCCTTGGCTAGGCTTCCACTCTGAAGTGGGCCTGAGAGTCCCAGCTAGACATTAGCATTATAGCCCACCTAGTACATAGATAAAGTTTCTGGAGAGTTTCCAAGGTATATGTGTATGTATGTGTGTGTGTTATTGTGAGTTGATTTAGCACACAATTGAGAACAACCAAAACAACACTGTGGCAGACTGAAGTAACACAGAAGTCAAATGCCCCCTCCCCTCCGCCCTGAGATTTGGCTAAATTCGCCTAAGGTGCCCCCATGGTGTTATCTTTCCTGTCTCATGCAGCATTACTCCACCTATACCCAAGCCTCCCCTGGGATCTCAGCTTCAGGCTTAAGCTCTTATCAAAACATTGTTCCCAGCAAAGACAGCTTCCCCTTTCTAGGAGAATTTAGGCGAATACAAGTTTCTCCCCCCTTTTCCAACTCTATACAAGTTTATTCACTTTTTCTCACTACCAGGTATAGAGGCAAAGCCCTGATTCTTCTTTCTTCTTTATCCTTATCCCAGGTTGGCACCACCTACTTGCATGTCAGGCTGGTCCTCAACATTTCAGTGTTGGGGCTCCCTGAGTTGCTTTGGGATCCTGTTACTGTGTTATGAGGATCTGCCACTCTTGAATCGAAGTTCTGTGCTACTGCCCAGGCTACTGCTGCCTCGGGAGGTGGGGGGTGGCCATGCCACTTTCTTTGTGAGTACTCTGTGTGTACTCTGGAGACATACTGCTTCCACTTCCAAAAGTGCACCTTCTCTTTGGCCACATGCCCCTGGCCTACCACGAACCCTCAAGTCTTCCTGCTGTGTGGTTCCAGGTCATTCACTCTTGGTGATCCTGCTGACCTCACCAGATCCCTTGGCCATGCTGTCCAGTTTACAGCACCATCTAGTTTCATAACTAGGACCACTGACCTCACACTGACTGCCCCATTTTCCTCATTTGCCTGGCATTGACAGTCTGTCTCATCTCAGGCCTGCAGACATGTCCTCTCAGCCTGTGGGGAAGGGCTATTCACCTTCCCTCTGTGGTTTGGGACACTAAGAAGGCCATGTCCCTCAAAAACCAGCAGACCCCATTCTTTCAAAATCTTTTCCTGCTTTGCCTCACAATTGTCTCCCCTGGGCTCTTTATCTGACAGATAATATAGCCATCTGTCCGTACACATCAAATGTCTGCAGTTGGAGAAGAATCTTAACCTTCATTCTAACTGCCCTTCCTTGCTCAGGGTCTATTCCTGCGCAGCTGAAGTTCAGTGGATCACATGTGTGCACCGAGATGCAGTGAGTGCAAACTCACACAGGTGTCCAACATGCTGCAGACAGAGGAGAGGGCCCATAATTTGGTTTCTGGGAAGGAGATTAGATGACATAGGAGATGGGTAGGAAGAAGCAGGGACGCATGAGGGGAGGGAAGAGGTGAGTATTCTGTGATGTGAGACAAGAGAGAGACTCACAGGATGAGAAGCAGAGCCCCTGGGATGTGGCAGAAATGTGTTAAGCAGTTCCATGTGCAGGCCCAGTCTGGGCCCAGCCCTGGACTGGTTTCCCAAAGAAGACCTGGGAGGTTCTTGGGGCACTCATATCCTGGGGCCTTGTCTCTGCTCCTTCCCACCTGTAACTGTATTAACTCTTTCAGTGTTTCAGCGACCCAAAGAAAGGAACACCAGGAGCCCTCAGATGAGTCAGCTGAACTTGTTTGTAAAAAGTCAAGCGAATCCCTCCCTGGGACCCTAAAAAGCCAGAAGGATCGAGACAATCACAGTCCCCACTCCATCCCTTAGCCAGTGATTCTCCAACTTTAGGGCAACTAAAATCACATGGCAACTTATTCCAAATTCAGATTCCCAGCTGGTGTTTTTCAACAAACACCAGCGATGTTGCTAAGTAGTCCTAGAACTTTGAGAAATTCTACTTTCCTCCCTCACTCCCCAAACTGTATATTTTAATAAAATAGAGGTATGTTTATTTTTAAATTTTTCTGTCTCATTGCTGAAACCCACACCTTCCCAACTGATTTCTGGAACCAGGTCCATGACCACATGGCCACTGACCTGGACACCAATCAGAAAAGATTCCCCAAGTGTTGTCTCTGTCCTTTGGGAGCCAAAAGACTACGAAGGCCATCGTTAGTGCCTGCCACACAGTAGGGGTCAGGAACTCTTGAATTAATCAAAGACATGGGCAAATAAATAAGTGAAATACTGATGAGCAGCATGAAAGCACAGGATAAAAAGGAAATATCATGTACAAGTCAGAGTCAGGTGCCACTGTGGGAGGCAAAAGCAAGTAAGTCTCAGGGGTGATAGCAAAAGTGGCAGAAATGGAGAAATGGTTCCATGTCCAGGTGATGTGGGCTAAGGAGGCCATCTCTGGCAATCGCCTGTCAGTTCAGTTAATTCACTACTTTCCTTAGTTCATTCAGCTAAAGGGCACTGTCCCACCCTCCCTGTTCCCAGTACACAGCCATCTGTCTCATCTCTCAATGGGCCTCTGCCCTGCCCTCCTTCTCCACTCACCCATCCAGACCCTGCATGATAAAATGTTAACCCTGTCCGCAGAGAACCTGCAATCCAGTGATCGTTCCTCAGGAATGGTGCCCATCTTTGCTTCTAGCTTAAGGTTGAGAGTCTGGAAGGAAGAAAAGGATATGGGGTATGAACAACTGGCTATTGCATGATGTTGAAGTGGGATCTGATTTCTGAGCGACAGCTTAACACATTGCAAGGAACGTCTGGTGGGGGGAGGAAGGAGAGGGGCATTCCTGATGCAGGTCCCACAGGGCAGCTGTGGCAACAAAGGGTCCTTTCTGGCCTTTCAGGTCCTAGGGCTTATTCTTTTTTGGAGGCCTCACATCAATGGTATCCAACATTTAAATGCACTCATACTCAAAATGTATTGCTTTAAATAATTTGAAAGGATTTTCATAACTTTGTTTTGGACATGAACTGGGTATGAGTAAGTGTTTTTAATGTGTAGTTGGCTGTGACTTTTCAACAATCATCATGCACAGAGATGAAATCTAACAAGTTTTAGAAATGTAATAAGAATTTTTGAATGTTAAATTTGACATTGTAATGAAACTGGCAATATTATGTTTTATAAACATTTAATTATATATACTTTTTTTTGGTACTTTGAAACCAATAACATTTTTAAATGTTTCATATGCTCTTGGAACTGTGCTTGAGGAGCCTAGTGGCTAACTTGCTCTGGTGATGGAGGACCTTGACTTTCTGCATGTCCTCTAGCAAGCTGTCTGTCAAGCAAGCAGAGTATCTGATAGATTTTTCTCCTGCTTTGCCAACAGTTCATTTCCTTAAAGGTAAAGAAGGCCTAGATGGGCCAAGATATGAAGCCAAGAGGGTTGATAACTTAGGAGATACATAAATATATATGGTACTTTTCTAGCAATGAGGTTCTTTGATTCTATATATGTGCCTCTTTTTTTTTTTTTTCAGAGCAAAGTTAATGTATTTGGTCAAATAAGATATTGCCTCCACCCTCAGAAAAGCTCAGGAAAGCTAAGGCATGGAAAGGAATATTTCTTGGCATAGTTTTTCAAGGCAGATTTGGGGGGTTGGCCATAGCTCTGCTTGTCTGGGAGCTTCCAAAGTGAGGAACCAACATTGATGTGTATGGGGTCATGAGGGAAGGGTCTACTTTAGCCCTCACTGTGATCTTCAAGGAGGCATGGGTGAAGTGGAAGGAACCAAAACTTTTTGTAAATCTAGCCAAAGAGGCAGGGGGAGGAAAGCCATATGAAGTGTGGTGTGTCCTATGTACTGGGGAGGCCAACTTGGAAAAAATCAGAATAAGGATAAGCCTGACTCCACGAATGGAGGAGTCATCTCAAAAAGAGAATATGTGCATGACTAAGATGTAACTGTCAATTGGGGACTTTGAAATGGCTACATTTAATATGTTAAAGGTTCTAGTCTAGTGGGAAAAGTGGACAATGTGTGTGAACTAATGGGGAAATTTGAGCAGAGAGTAGGAAATTGTAAAAAAGAAATGCTAGAAGTGAAAACCTTAATGTCGGAGATGGATTCCTTGAACGGTTTTGCCAGCAGATTAGACAACAGCAGAGGAAAAAAATCCATGACTTTAAGCTAGGTCAATAGAAATTAATCAAATTATAACACAAAGAATAAAAGCAAATAAATAATCAGGCAAACCCAAAACTAAGCTAAATGTGTGGGACAGTGACAAATGGTCTAAACACGTGTAACTGAAGTCCCAGAAGGAAAAGGGAGAAAGAACGGGGCAGAAGAAATATCTAGAGATACTGAGAATTTCCCAAATTAATGGAAGACAATAAACCACTGATCCAAGAAACTCACAGAATCCCAAACAGGAGAAACACAAAGAAAAACACACCTAAGCATCTTATAGTCAAAGTGCTGAAACCAAAAATAAGAGAATATTTTGAAAGTAGCCAGAAAGAAAAAAAGTGCATAGAAATAAGTAACAAAGCAGTCTCCTCATTGGAAACTGTGCCAGCCAGATGGTTACTGAGGCCCAGCTGTATCCCTGCCTTATAAGTCCGCAATATAACCCAGGAGCATTCCAGGACATTCCACTGGTTGGGGCTAATATTAGCTTAGACAGGTTTCTGTTACCTGCAGAAACAATTGGCTAGAACTGAGCAGTGGCTCAGCTAAGCAGAGTCCTACAGGGCATGAGCTCTCCAGTTTTCCACAGTACCCAGCCCCTCCTCTCTTTTTTTTATTTTTTATTTTTATCCTCACCCGAGGACATTTTTTGATATTTTGTTCAGATAGAGTGGGAGGGAGAGAGAGAGAGAGAAACATCAACGTGAAAGGTACACATGGAGTGGTTACCAACCAGGGCCGGGGACAAACTGCTACCACCCACACAACCCAACCAGGGCCGGGGACAAACTGCAACCGAGGTACATGCCCTTAGCGGGAACCGAACCCAGGTCTCTCTGGACCACAGGCCGATGCTCTAACCGCTGAGCCAAACCGGCCAGGGCCCAGCCCCTCCTCTCTTTACACGTAGTTCTGAGCTGGTTGGTGACTGCATCACCCTCAAAGACTATTTATTGGCTGTGAGTTGGGAGGAAACAGAGTAGGTGGAGGCTAGATATACTAGTCAACTGGCCTAAATGCTCCTCAAGTTAGGCCCTGTGATCTGACTGTTGCCTCAAATTCTTTCCCCAAAGATGACCAGCCCAGAACAACCAAAGCCCCAGTCCAGCTGGCACACCTATCAGGGTTCTGAGAGATGGTAATTACCACTGGTGGCAATGTCTGTGAGGGAAGGCAGTTTTCAATAATTCAGAGTCACCCTGGGGTCAAGAAGATTCAGATTTCCTCTCCCACAATCCCTGTTCTAAGAGTCCCTATGTAGGTCTCTGTCACCTCACTTTCTGGAAGGGTTGCCTTACTGCAAGAGCCACAAGGGGGCAGCAACGTGTTTGTTTAAGAGACTGTATGGGTCTGGGTTGAAAAATGGGCTGAATTAAAAGTGTAGGAATTGCTGAAAGATAGACACAACTGAAGCTGGGTGAGGTGCATCTGAGAAAGTGCTTGGCTGAGCATGGAGAACAAGTATGACAATGGTAGGAGAAAGAGACAATGGATTCCTGGCTTATCCTTTGGATATCTGGATCCTGCAGACAATTCCTGGAGATAGGAAGCACAAGTGGAGAAGCTGGTTTGAGTGAGAAGGAAAGATGAGTTGTATTTGGATGATTTGAGTTGGAGGTGTCAGTGGGCAATGGGTTGATATGTTCAGTTGGGTGTTTGGATATACAAGTCTATGACTTCAGGGAGAGATTGGAGTTAGGCAATCATCATCATGTAGCTGATCACCCTGGCTCTAATTTTACTCTTTCAATCGTACTCCATACTAAGCCAAAGAGATCTTTCTAAAATCCTGATCTCATAACACACCCTGCTTAAAAACTCTTTAACGGTTTCTTCATGAGTTTAATCATGGCTTATAAAGATTTTTGTGACAGCTCTTTGGCCTGGCTGTATGACATTCCATTGTATGGAGGGACTATAATTTATTTGACTAGTCTTCTAGTAATAGATGTTTGCGTTGTTTTTAAACTTTTGCTACTATAAGTAATGCTGTAGTTGATAACTTTGGGTATAGTTTATTATGCTTATATACAAGTATATTGGATCAGAAACTATATGTATTTGTAATTTTGAGAAGTATTGACAATTTACAACTCTACCAGCATAGCTATGAGGGCCTATGGCCTCAGAAGTCTATTGTCAAACATTTGGAATTTTTGCCAGTCTGTAGGTGAAAAATTGTATCTAAATGTAGTTTCAATTTTCTTGTGAGGTTGAGTATTTTTTCATAAGTCTAAGAGCCATTTGTCTTTCCTTTCATGTTAACCATCCCATTTTCTTATTGAATTTTTGTTCTTTTTCATATTGGTTTGAAGGGATTTTGTATATATGAAGCAAATTAGTTCCTTTGCCTATGATATGAATTGCAAATATTTACCCCAGTTTGTCATTTGTCATTATGGTGTTTTTTGCTCTGGAGAAATTATAGATTTTTATGTTGACAGAAAGTCTTTTTTTTTTATGCTTTGGGAAATTTTGTTATTCTCAAAAATACTTTCTCTACTATGACATTACAAATTTATGTTTTTACTCTTTTAAGCTTATTTAAACACAGTTGATTCATATGGATTTATATTAATCTAAAGGCTAAAGTAGAGATACTACATTTTTCTTTTCAGGTGGCTACACAATTGTCTCAATACCACTTATTATATAATTCATCTTTTCCC